CAAGAAGGACTTCGTAAATTGGACCTCATCCGAATTAAAAAAATGAATCACAAATCAAGTGCTAAAGGTAAATTAAGGAGAAAACAGCTTAGAGTCATCAAAAAAGGTTACATAGGTATCGAAAAAGAACTGGAAAAGGACCCACAATATAATAGTCGAGGTTTTTAATTGAGCTTGTACTTCTTTTCCTAATATAACAAACTTTTATTTTGTTTTTTGTGTTTTTCTCAAAACGTCATTTTTACTAAATACCTAAATTTTAAAACGCAATATTTTCAGTTTGGGACCGTATGCTGACTTGAAATTTTCAGGGTGCTTTTGTTATAAATTGACTTAGGTAATGAACCAAAATTACAAATAAATATTATGTATAAGTATGTTTAAAATCTTTTTTTTTTTTTTTTTTTTTGTTAAAAATTTTCTTAAATTTATAGAAAATTACTTTTAAAATGTTCTATGCATCTTTAATGCATGATTTTGGTTCATAACCTCTTTGTATTTTTTAGTAACATAATGTGAAAATTTCAGAGTGAAAGGATATATAGAACTGGAGATATCTTGTTTTAAATTACACCCATATTTTGGCAATTCTTATGGAATAAGTGAGGCAAAAGTTAGGCAATCGAGATTTCATTTAAAAAAAAATAATCAGCATACTTTTTTAAACTTGTGTAATGTAGTTTTAATTTTGTATAGATTATTTTAAAGAAATTTTTTAGAATGGGGGTGTACCACCTTAAAGAAATGAATATTTTAAATGTATATCAACTAAATGTCTTTAATATTTTATGTTTCATGTTTAAATGTAGAGAAAATTTGTCGCCAAATGTATTGCAAAATTTTTATTGTATGAAACCTAAAAACAAATATAATTTTCGAATTAATAACAGTCTTATTGCCTCTTTTTGTCGTAAAAGCAAAGACCAGTTCTTTGTTTCTTACCGAGGTTCTTATCTCTGGAACAAAATAGTCTTACCAAATTTTGATTTTTCAACCCTAATGACTTTTGCTTCATTCAAACAGAAACTTAAAAAAATTATATTTTTAATTGAAAATATCTTGATTTATTTTTAATTGCCTTTTTTTTGTTTTGTTTTTGTTGTTGTTTTATTTTGTATATTATTTGGTTTAAAATTTTATCTTGGCTTTTTAACATTTTATCTTGGTTTTTAAATATTTTTGCATAGAGGTGTATTATTATTTCACTACAGACATTGTATTTTTATTAAAAGTTAACTATATATTGTAAAGGGCTTCATGACAAGATCCTCGTGATCTTCTAGAAGTCCTGTCGTTACTAATGTAAAAAATTGTAAAATATATTTAGTTATTGTAATATTAAACGGCAAAAAAAATAAATAAATAAATAAAAAAAAAAAAAAATAGTGCGCTTGCATTCTTGTTCGTGTCGAATTGAAGTGTCTGATTGTGATTCCTTTTTTTGGTGTCGAATGGAATTGAAGTGTCTGATTGTGTTTCCCCAACAGCTCAAGTGTGGCTAAAATATTATTATTATCATACTCATCCAGCTTGTTTGATGAACCTAAAAAAATATATACATAATATTGAAATAAAGATTACATCTAGATTAATATTCTGAGCAACATTAAAATTATTTTATGAACATAAACTACTAACACACCTCAAAAATCTTTTGTAGTTTTTTCTGTGTTGAACATTACACTAGTGACTTTTAATCTTTTTTCCTAGCTTTCACAAATTTTCTTTTATTCCGCCATTTTACATTCCACATTAAGAGGAAAGACTGAAATCCAGGGCCAAAATTATGCTTTTGTCCAAAAATAGAGCAGGTAAAAACAAAAAAAAACTTTTGCAGTTCCACTCTTGATAAGCCAATCTCTGTTAATCTTCTTTCCGTTGAGAGAACTTTTGTAAAAAACGGAGGCAGGAACTTTTTTTTTTTGTAGAATTTTCAGGGAAAAGTACCGGATTTTGAGGTGGTGCATTTAGTATGACTAGATCGCGTTCAACTTTGTATAAAACCTCTTCCACAAAGAGGGGTTGTTTTAAACTGCTAGATCACCCAGTTGTATTGCTTGATCGTAAATTAAAAAAAGCATTTGAGAATTGCGGCATGTTTTTAATATCTGTAGGTATTAAATGATATGTTTTTAGAATCTCTAGGTATTAAATGATATGTTTTTAATATCTGCAAATTTTCATAAAATAAGAATGCGTCACAAACTCACCCGATTATCATCTTCTTCAGAGACCGTTAAAAAATTTGAAAGAAAAGATGGATTTCTTGAACTCAAGAGTTTATCAACGCTGTTAGTAGCATAGTCTCTCTAAAAAAGAGTTTTTTTTATAGTTTTGGAATGAAATTATGAATATATGGTTGTAAATAAAAAAAAAAAAAACCTTTACCTTGACTACTTAGTCGGAAGAAGAGTTATTTTTTTTTTTGAACTATATTAAAGTCACACTCTTCCTGTCTATGTTTGGTCTTGTATTCTTTTACAACTTTTTCCTTCTGCCTTAGAACCCCGAATCATGTTTTCGAAAACTGGACATGACGTTTTTACTGTAAGATGTGTGTTATTATGTGATTATCTTATTTTTAAATAAAATAAAAAAGTTTTTTCATTTTTTTCGAAATCGAAATGAATTTTTTATATAGACTTTAATTCTCAAAGGAATTAAAGAGAAAAATAGTTAAATACAATTTAACAATATCAAATTAATTAGAATGAATCTATTGAGAAAGAATATTTGAAATGTGTTGGAATGAGAGTAACATTGATAACGATTTAAAACAATATATTTATATGCAGAGATGTAGTCAAGACAGTAAAGGCCGAGACCAAGACATTTAGACTCAAGACCAAGACTAAGACTGAGTCCTTTAAGACCAAGACCAAGACATCAAAATATTAACCCAAGACCAAGATATTGAAAGTTTTTACAAGACCGGGATCAAGACTCTCATTGAGAACGGAAAGTTGTGGCAATCTACGGTTTGTTATTAATAACTATCCATTCATTGATTTTTTTTGTAAGAATTAAGAAAGTGAAAGACAGTAGAGGTCCAAGACCAAGACCAATACTCTAGGATTTCAAGACCAAGACTAAGACCAAGACTTAAGGCTTCAAGACTAATACCAAGACCAAGGCAGTTAAATATGAGTCTCGAGGCGTCTCGAGACCAAGACTTTAGTTTTGAGACCTACATTTCTGTTTATTTGCTGCTTTAACCTGCCTCATTTTAAAATTATGATTATTCAATTATGAACAATGTAATCAAGTTATTAGGTTATGGAGTCACACTGTCATCTAGTAATTTGCAGAAGTACTAGACTCATTAGCACACTCACAGGCAGGAATATTTAAAATGATTCAGCTAGAAACCAGTTATCCATTACCAATTTCAAAAAAATTCAAAAGCAGATATATGCATAATCCCTTGTAAAATACAAATAAATTTTGCAAAATGCAAAAAATGTTTTTAAAAGAACGTGAAACTATTAATATTTCTACTGATTTAAAATGAAAATAATATAAACATATATATTTATTAATGCATACACATTTTCTAGTTTAATTTTTAATAAGATATATTCATTTTGTGATAATAAAAAAATTTCTTTCTATTTTGAACTAAATTTAGAATAATAAATATTTGAAGTCTGTTGTAATAAATTCTAATTGTAATAAGAGTCTTTTTTTTTTCTGTTTTAAATTTCTCCAAGAAGTAGTGCTCTTTATGATTATTAAAAATTTTAATAAAATCTTTTATTGAGGGCAGCATGTGCCCCTTTGTCTTTGTGCCTAGTAGGCACACCGGAAAGGGGTAGGCTAGAGCAGCAACTGCTACCCCATCATTTTTGACTGGGGTGGCAAAGGTTGCTCTTATGTGCCATATTTAGGATAAAGGTATAGTAAATTTTAGTGCTTTAAAAGCATTTTATCATCCAATATTTTATTATCAATATCAGTGCAATGACTGGTCCTGTCAAATCAGAACAAAAATAAAGGAAATCTTATTTTGAAGCAATTGATGCTATTCAGAACAGTTAGAGTGAGACATTTGAACAGAATGGGTTAACAGCTGTAAAAAATATAGAAGAAGTTTTGATTTCATCGGTGAATAAACAAGATTACCCACTTTTTTTATTTGGAAAGCCATTTTTCAATGATTTTGACATCATGGAACTAAAAGTTGCGATTCGTAATAGTAAAAGTAGTAGACAAAGTGATATTATTTGTCTATTTTTTGGAGAGCGGTTTGGTTAAATAAATTGTTAAATTATATGAGATATTGTATATAGTAAAATATTGTGTTAATATTTTGGCAAGTGCCCTTGTGTTTTGGTTTTCCCCCCCTGCCATTAGGTCCTTCCAGCGTGCCTGGTGCCTAAGTTAAATGTACCCAGTAGCCCCCTCCTTTGGGCGGCTGTCTTAGTAGCACAAAAATTATTATCAAATTCAAAAGAAAAATTCAAAAAATTTAATAAAAAGAAGAAGCGTTTTATTTTATAGCGTAGAAGCATACGACCTGATAATTATACAAAAATATATACATTTCATAATTGCTTAGGTCTTCTTGGGGCACCTACTACAAAATTTGAATTTTGGTCATTTCGCTTCACTGTGTGGCCTAAAAAAATAGGTGCAACTTTTTTACAATTTTAAAATTATTTTGCAAATCGCCTTTCAATAATAATATCTGTCGGGTGTCGTCTAAAACATTCGTGTAGGCCTATATAAATTTTTTCCTCTTCAAAAACTCGTCTTTAAAAACATATTTTCGGATTTATAAATATACCCTCATAAAAATATAAGTATCTTTTTTCAAAACTCGAGCGGGTGCATCATTTTCTCGCAAATTAATAATCTCAAATTATTAATCTCAGCCACCTCCCATCCTAAATTCCTGGATCAGCGCCTTATTTATGAATGATATTAAATTATTGTTTTTTTAAACTTATGAGTTTGCATATTATTTCATTTTCATTTCAGTTATATTATGATATTAATGTATTTTATGAATTACTGTTTAGAAAAAAGTTTAAGGATATTGAATTAAATATATCAGGGAGCAAAGTGCTAAGTTCTAATTTATCAATCAAGTATCTGGACAAGTAATTATTCTACGAAACTAATTCTGACAAACTTTTTTATAAATTTAACATATTTTAATTATTTCTTTTTGCAATAAATGGGAAAACGTGCTTGTATCTCGTTAAGTTGTGTAAAAACTTGGTTCATGGTTTTTGCAGCGATATTGTGGGTATGCATTTTAATTTTGTTTGTGATACTTTAAAGATTTAATTTGGGACTAATTTTCGGTGTTGAGTTTAGGTACTTGTGCTGTACTATAAATCAATTTTATTCACCTTTTGTTTTTCATTTTTTTAAACTTAGATGATTTTTTTTTTAAGTAATGAGATATTTTGCAAAAGTACTTTTTTTATGCTGTTGATATATTTAGGTAATTACCTTATTGTAATATACCATTACATTAAATTTATGTTAGGCTATGTTACAATAAGGTAATTACCGAAAAAAGTTTTTATAAATTTTTGTTTGTTTTTAAAATTTTATGTTACAAACTTTGCCCAATCAGTATAACTTTATTTATACAAGTAAGTTCTATCTACAACGTATTATTAGAAAATATGATAGAAAAATATATATTGGGGTGACTCTACATGCTATGGGAGTGCTTATAGCTTATTGTTTGTAGTAGAGATAATAAATCACTATTAAGTTAAATAAACGCAAAGCTGCTTAACTACTTAACAAATGTGACACTAGGACTCCACCCTCTTTCATCAACAGTCAATACACTACTTAAAAAAGTATCAGCGCTTGAAACATTAACACCAACTTGCAACATTTCATATTCTTAGCTGATTCTAAAGTTATTTACCATGCAAGTAAGATGCTTCTGTTATTTACCTTGCAAGCCATAGATGCTTCTGTTGTTGATCAAATAGTAAAGGATATTTCACGTCATGTACATTACTCTGCTTCTTCTAAAGTTGCTGGCAGTATTTTAGTTGCCAATTCTAATTAAAAAAACAACAACAACTCACAAAAACTAACAACTACTTCTTCAACTATTGCCGCACCCACTCAACCAGCTCCAACGTCTCTTGTTATTGTATCTGCAAGCAATGAAACTTGCAATGGCCTTCTAGTAATTGCTAGAAGTGTGACTACCAATGATGCAGTTTATTCATGCGGCCAGATCAAACTTCTTCAGAGCAAGAGCTTTTCAATAAATTGAACAATAAAAAGTACAACCTCAATAACTTCACCCTATACCTCAATAACTTCACCCTATACCTATACCACTTTACCCTAATAACATGGTTCTTCTAAAATCCAAAATAAATATACTTTATTGTAGCCTGATGTCAATTTTAGGTGATAGAATTAGTGTCCGAAATGATGATGAAATGAAAGTTTGTTTTATTTGTTTATTTGATAATGGTGTCACTCCATTGACTAATTTTTGAAACTAATATACTTTTTAATATAAAAGCGTCTCAATTAATAGTTCAAACTTTATTAACTTAAAAGCTTTCTAATTAATAGTTTAAAGCTAATAATTTTTCCCATATTGCCACATTGTAGCTTGATTAATTGTGTCATTTATGAGGCGCGACAGATCTATTAGCATTAGTCAAGAGTTCTAATTCTACTAACAGAAACTTTTTTTATGTTCTATTTTTTTTGTAGGCATTAGAAAATATCAAATTAATTAAGCTTGAATTAAGTAAACTAAAAAAATAAATTTTTCTAAATTCGTGGTAGTGAAACACTTAAATTAAAATAAAAACATATTATAATAAAAATATTAGTAATAATAATTTAATAATACAATAGTTATAATAAAAACTAGAACCTCCCATTAAGAACCGCATCCTCTTATGATTAATGGGCAGGTGAGTAAAATTACTTTAATTACATATAGTTAGGACTTTAATTTAATAAAAGTAATTAAAATTTAAATGAAGATGTGCTTTTATTAAAATGTTAAAATACAAAATAAGAGTATATATATTTATTTAAATAAGTTTTTAAATTTATTTACAATTACCATAACATCAATTTTAAATCTAATTTAAGTATACTATTAAGAAAAATAATATATAACATATAATATATAATAATAACCAATATTAAACTTGAATTTCTTAACGAAACTAAGCTTGGTGTTGCAGATATTTATCTAGTTATTATATTATATATTATTATATTAGAGACTATTATATGTACTAACATTTTTTTAATATTTATAATAAGTCCTTATTTTTAAGTATACAAAGAGAAGCAACAAAATATATATTTAAAGAAAAAGCTAAAATATCTAAAGAGGATCTTATCTGTAAAAGTTAGTTTTCAAAAGACTTTTTTTTTTTTTTTTTCAAAAGTCTTTAGAATCATAATTAAATATAACTAAAAATGGAAATAAAGACTTATAAATTAATAAAGTTCAAAAAATCACCATAACTCAAGTAATAAAAAAAA